CCCCAAAACCCCAAAACCCCAAAACCCCAAAACCCCTAATGAGGGTACACAAATTGAATCGAACATAATAAATTTCTGATAAGCTTCTTTATTTGTAAATTAAACTATAACCCTTTACGTCTGCTGTTGTGAATCTTTGATGGTCTGTGTTTAGTATTATTTTAGTCCCGATCCTCTCATTTCTGAACTCTTCACAGAATTGGAGGATCTCTGAATGTAAGCTATTGCTCTCTTTTGCTTCTTCAGAAGCATGAGCAGTCTTACTAGATTTGCCAATTTTGATTTGTTCTACAGTCATCAGCTTAACTGTCTTAACTGTATAATTTTTTCATAGTGAGTGCAAAATCTGATGAACATGCTTAACATTAACCAGATTTAGGTCAATATCTATAATACTGAGGTTGGCTTCTCAGAGCTCACAGATCTTCTGGACAACAACATCACCATGGATGATTCCTTCAGATCTGAGTTCTTGCAAATGAGTATCTTTAAGAGCTTCTAGAAGATCACAAAGTTGGTCTGCTCCATTGTCTTTTACGTACTCTTTTATATACTCGTGTTCTGGACTACCATCTCCTCTCGATAATCGAGAGGTTGGACTCTTTACTTTATTCCTAAAAAAGTAGGTATGCACTATGATAGACAGCAGAGAGTTATCAGGCATGGCCTTGATTCCATCAAGGCAATGAGAATAATCAACTCTTGCCTTTGAATCTGGATTTGCTCTAGAACTCATTGTTGGTTCAATGAACACGTTGAAAGTGTAGTGAGGCCTCTTCCCAGTCAGGTCGCTTTTAATGTAAAACAAAGGCTGTGGATCTTCTACATACGGAAGGATCCTCCACAGAAAGCAAGGACGTCCTCTAACTCCAGACATTTTTCTTTTATTTCTGACACTTAAGGATCGGATATTTCATCGAGAATTTAAATATCATGGGTGGGAGATTTTTAAAATCAAACAATTTTCTGTCTGACTTCAGAATCTTTTCAATGTACAGATCTTTCTTCTCCTTATCATTTCAAAGCTTGATGTTTATAAGCTTGATTAAATTGAAATCTGCACTGGTCTGGAGATACACCTGGGCTTCTTTTTCACTACTACTCTCTTCTTTATTCTCTTCAGAATTTTTAAAGATCTTAGATTCTTCTAATAACTTGAAATCTTCAGAAAAAAGTTTGATTTTGAGTTTGTGCACTGTATACAAATGCAGCTGGTTAGTGTCAGGGTGGATATAAATGATCTCAGCATTCTTCACACTCAATTCAAGCCTTGTAGCTTCATCACTACAGCTGTTGTAAAATCGATATTTTCTCACATTTTGGATCTTGTCAAAAGCTCCATACTTATCTGAAAAACATCTGGAAATAAGATTTTCGAGCATCAAGCTTCCATGGAAATCAATAGTCTCGATTCTCGGCATGTGCCTTAAGACAACTTCAAGGCCTTTTGCCATCTCTAGATACTCTGTATTTCTGAGAGAGAAGTCTGAAAACTCAAGGTTGATCAGAATCTCTTTACAAAGACTATGCTCAAACTGAAAATCTGCTTTGCGCTGATATGCATATATCAGTGCTTGTGCACTGATGGATATAAACTTGTAATTGCTTTCCAATACCTTCTGAATATTTTCTGCCAGAGATAGCTCTTCCTTTTCCTCCTCTAAAGAATCCCCTGTGATGCTCAGATTCTTCAGAGAATCATATGAGTGCATCAGATCTAGCCCAACAGATGCATCTTCTGATTGGACTGAATTCTCTTCACAGTAGTCTTTGACCAAGTCATCGAATGATACAAAATCAAAGCATACTGCATCTCAGTCGAATCCTTTCTCCAAATATTTTTGTAAAAATAGGCTACAAGCGCTAGAGGATTTCTTGCCCAGCTCTACGTCGACGAAGTCGAACTGATCCTTGAGGTGCATCTCCATATGATCAATCAGATAGACCATGGCTTGATATGATTGTTCGGATTTCAGGTTTATCCTCAGACTGAAATACAGATGATGATTCGAAGTAAGCAGGTTCTCCACATTCTCCTTCGTTAAAATCCCATTTATCTCCTTAACCAGAGTTCACTTCTTAAAGTCCATGATTACTCCAAGAAATGGTTTCAGGTTCTGAAGCCAGATCTCTCTAGTTTTCTTATCTAGCTGGAGAAGCAGCTCTGCTCATTCGTGGATGTATCCATAGTAAGGCACCAGGATGCTCAGTAACGAAATCTTCTGTCAGATGGTGATTATCTTACTTCTGGTGGATTCCATTTGTATTCAATAAATTAACACTAGAATGGGGTTTTGGGGTTTTGGGGTTTTGGGG